ACTACCCATAGAAATTGTGATATTTAAGTATGAAAGTGTGTCATCTTGTGAATGTACAAAACTGGAAAATATACTGCAGTAATGTCAATACAATTTTTGGGATTTGTTAATGTGTTTGCATTGGCATTGAAAAGTATTTGTAATCTGAATATCAGTTTTCCGCGCATGTGATTGGTGGAATACGTAATTATTTGTTTTCTGTGTGAATAGAATGCTGAAAGATCTTGGGTCTTACCTCAACAACTAGTGGCTAATACATAAATTGTGGATGTGACCACACCATAGTTTTTATTTCTGTTACCCAAAGGTGTAAATGAAAAACAGAAAACATAAGGTGGTAATGATCAGTAGTAAAGCTATTATACAGAAGTACCCAAAAGTACAGTGTCAACCAAAAATTTAAGACCACCATGCTATTTTAGTAAACCTTCCACAGGTCTCAAACTTTTGGTTGAAAGTTTATTAGGAATGGTAATGTATGTTCACAGCTCAACTCTTTCCGCAATAACGAAAGCGGATTGTAGACGGCAGTAATGTAACACAACAATGCCGAGTAAACAGATGACGTAACAATTAGTTCCTTAGGTAACATAATGCACGCAGTTCATATAAAAGCTGACCATTGTCGGTCCATATTTAGACATTGTTGATATGGATCTTTCACATTTTCGTTACACATCTTCGTAACGCTGTTTATGCCGAATGACCCTTCCGTATAGACGTATTTACGTCAAAAAGGTGAGAAACATTGGCTGTAGTTAAATTCTTTTATCAGTGTTTTCAGGGAGCTGTCTTGTTTATCCCCTAATCAATTTACTAACTTCAGCGATGTAGACTTGTGTTGGTTATTTTTTGTGAACGGTATGAACGTCATACCACTGGAGGTTTCATCTTAATGGTTTACATTTAATTAAGAACTGCAGTATCTTAATTTGAGATGTATGAACAAGATTTGTCTCTGAGATAAATGTTTAGGTTCCATAGGGGAGTTTTTATTTACTTATGATTGAATATACAACAGAAACCGAGGTCACTGTTGAAACATTTTTGCATAGTGAGATTAGATCATGGTGCAACAATGAACATAGTGGTTGTTGCACAAGGACCTACGTGATGTGGTGCAAATAACGCCTTTTGAATATCAGTGCACTTATTTATTGTTTATTTAACGACACTTGTTCAGTAGCTCAGACTGTATAGTGTGAAATGAGAGGATGATAGTGAATAATTAATTGGGAGAGATGTAAGGAAGCGGTCGTGGCCTGATTTAAGGTGTTATCACAGAATTTGCATGTAGGGACTGAGGAAAACCATTAGCCCCCCCCCACAAGTCAGGATAGCTGGTCTCCAGGCTGAGGTCTCAACCTGGGACCTCTCAAACATTAAGCAGGTGTGTACTACAGAGAGTACACGTTTTGAGTAATTTTTGAGAAAGCATCATCATTGTATCAAGAAGTAGCAGAATTTTTGTCAAAAAATTTATTTTCTTTTGTTTTTTATGTTTTATGAAAAATTATACCAGGTAGGATGAGAGGATGTGGCATTTTTAGCTGGATCATCTTCCAAAATGGGGTCTAATGGGATTTTTGAGCATACTGATCATCTTTGAGTATCCTATAACAGAGAGGGATTTCTTGATCAGGTACTCAGGGCCCTCAAAAAAGACTACAATATAATCTCTCCCTTTGTGTTATTCACTGGACAACTGCTTCAATGCTGACGTTAAAAACTCCAAGTTTCCTCCTTTATATTTGAACGGCTAAAAAATATGCAGAATGAACAAATTGTACGTCTCTTTATCTCTGAGTTTCTTCTGGAAATGTATCTTTTGAGATTTATATCCAGACATTAGTAGTTGCTACTCTGTGCTGTAGACTTTGATTTGTGAGATGGAGAATGTTTACCTCTGCAGCAGAAGGCCATCATTAAATTAGATGACCCTCGAAGATTGGGGGAAGAAAGGTCAGGATTTAGTTTGCCACCCAAGGCAGGCAGTCGTCATTATAAGATGATGTAGTAAAGCAAAGCATCCATTCTGCATTTTTTGCAGAATCTTTTAGTAATTATCTGGTGTAGTTATACATAGCAAATAAAGTTTTAGCTTTATTAATAGTATTTTTGTTGTAGTGACAGTGTTTTGATACGAAATTTTAAAATTGAAGTTGTAAGAAATTCGTAATAAGATCAGGTATGCTGTACCATTATTTTATGGCTGCCTTTTTTATGTAATAAAGTAATATTTGAGCACCACGTAATTGAATAGATACAAACGAAAATTAGATTCTTACGAGACAGATTTTAGCTTAGATTTGCAGTAATATTGGTACATTTTACATAAATCGATTTACATTTTCGATTGTTGGTCTCTTAACCGGTTGTCGTTTTGTCGGGTTTTTCGTTGTTCAGTTTCTTTGGGCAAATACCCGGTTAGTGCGGGTACCCAGAAGTAAGAGACTGTCACCTCTTTGTATGTCATCTATTCACGATTTGCGACATCTCGCGCTACGCAACTGCAGCAGTTGATGAAACGCCTTAAGATAAAAACATTGACGTGAACATGCGTCATCCTATTGACTAGTCTCACGTCACGCAATATTTCTTACGGATGGTCTACAAGAGGCAGTTGAAATTGAACCCGTACTTACGCGCCGCGTTATGAAGGTGTGAGGGGAGTCGAGGTAAAGCTCCATCCGTTTTTAACCTCGGAATTAAATAAAGTGGCCAGCTTCGGATGCTGTACCCCCCTCTCCGTCTACTTCAGAAGAATGGATGGGCCCCAGGATGGGTGTGGGAATAGCAAGGAAGAACAAAATTCTGTTCTCGGTTGGCTCATGGGTAGTTTAATGACGCTGTATAGCTTGCAGAAGCTATATTTTTGGTGTTCGGTAAGAAGGGCTTAAATAAGAATCAATTACCTACGACTAAAACCCTTCATAACGACTGTCAAATATATAACGTTTGAATTAACCCTTGCTCCAACTATAAATTGAAGACGATATGATGGAAGCGTGACAGATCAACGCAGGCCTAGGAGGGGTCGAACTGGTGTAGGGCATCATCATAATGACATAAACAACGCGTCACAGCAAAGCAGTGGCATACACTCTCCGCTTGCACGAAGACCGGATTATTCCGACGTGTAGAGGTCATAAAGTACTGGGCACTCATGTCTCGGCGTCCAGTCTTTCCTGGTCTGTGCTGTGCTGAAGTATCCGCTGATCAGCTGTGCTCCTTCTTCGATCCCTGTCTTGCTTCGATAGCTCTGCTTATGGTCCCTGTGTCAACGCTCCGAGTGGTGTCCAGTCAAATTGCTGAAGAGGGAATTTACTCCCAACAGCAAGGATATCTGGGCTTCATAAGCACACGTCAAGTGGAACAGTTGCTGTTTGATTCTTGTCCTGGTAAGAACACATGATCCTTACTGGAAACGTGCATGGTGATGCAACGGTGACGCTCTAGAACAGTGGTTCCCAACCTTTTACAACCTGGGACAATTTCCATCCTTGAATATCGACTCGCGGGATTATACATGAGTCACAATCTAACAGAACTTCATGGAAATCGAAGATGGCTGGCTTCTGGGATGTTTCATTGTGTAGTCTGGTAGAAGTTGACAGATATTTAAGAGGTGTTCACCCTGATGATCGAGGCAGTACGTCGGACAACTTCTGCCAGACTAGAAGCAACATGCTCAATGATCTTCCTGATGATGGAAACAACAAGTACATCTGAAACGCTGGTTAACTTTTACCAGACAACATCCCAGAAGAGTCATCTTCATTCTCGTCGCTGTTAAACTTTAAATCTCGCCATTATAATGGATGATCCTTGAATTATTTGTTGAAGGCTTTAATCTGTATTGGTTATGTAGTTTCTAATGGTTGGTTTAAATTACTGATTGAAAATTATGTGGAAGAAAACAATTTTGTTCTGTATTAAGAAACTACATGAGCATCCATCTGGATATAATAAGAAACTCAGGATAGCCAATTCCCGAGCCGAGATTCAAATTGGGACTCCACGTGTGCTACCCGCTCACCTCCACTTTTGATCGAACCGTTAGAAGCATAAGGAAACTCAAAATTGATGTTGACCGAAAGTGTTTTTAAAAGTATGCATCTTAGATCGAGTTCAGAATGAAAGTTTATTACAATTGTGCGCTGGTATTTCGAAACTGTTATAAAAAGAAATAAGTCACAGGCCTTCAGCGGGCGAAGTAATTTTAGAATCAGGACAATGTTTTTTTTAACGTGACGAGTCCATTGAAGAGGGGAAGGAAAGTGTTTCCAAAACACGCTGTTCTAAAGGAATTAAATGTAAATTTTTGCAAACGTGCATTGACGTTTGTGCATCATTAGACTTTGGGTAGCTGAATCTGTAGTTGTAGGCCAACAGAAAATAAACATATCTCGATGTTTACCAGTAGAAAAGTTAATTTAATGAAATCACATGCTAGTTTTTGTCACTATACACTTTTCCACGGTCTCATGTCAATCCTAAGATAGTATTTTCATGATTGATGACAGTTGAACACATTTGGCTGCACTGTGTATTTTCAGATTCCTTTCAAAGTCTTATACTTGAATTGAATTCAAATAGTTCGTGAGTCGACATGAACATATGCAAATGGAAACAACTCTTATTTAAATAAATTTTGTAATGGCTTTTCCTAAAGCCTCGTTCAAACTAGTCAAGTCGCTTGAATGCAAATCACTTGAAAACAAAATCTTGAAAGGACTTGGCTAATGTGAACTGTGTTTCAATTACAAGTCTACTGAAGGGACTGTAAAGAAAAGTAGAAACTAGATAAACTTTTTATTTGACTGATTAGAATAAAAACTTCAGAAATGTGAACTAATACTTGATTGCCCAGTTTATTAGAACGCATGGAAACAGCTATTTTTCTGCTGGTATTATTGGAAAAAAAACAGACTGAAAGGCTATAATTTATTTTTGTTAAACGCAAACATAAGCTTGAATTAATGAAGCTGGAATTCCAGCGTCTTTCAGTCACGCAACGTGCTTACTGTGAACGAGGCTTAAAGGCTTTGTCTGAACGTCTTATCGTTTTCCGATAACCCTGCTTTGCGTCATCTTCAATATTGAACAACGACAGACGATCTGATTAAAAACAGAGAGTACACTGTTCAGTTACATAAATTTGTGAATCACTTACTTGTATTTTATATGTCATAATTGTTTAATTACTACTTCATGCTTCCAAATACAAGATGACTAAAATGACAGTTGCTAATGATGTTTGTCCAGTCATATGTTCAATTATAACATGAGGAAATATGTTCGAAACTTGGTATGTAAACGGCATATTTGAACAGAGTTATGTGGTTCGAAACGAACCCTTGAAACGAGGAAGGCAAATAAAGATATCTCAGTTAAGTGGTAAACAATTTAAACCAGGGATGTCCAGAATAGATGTCAGAGGTACTGCTGTGCTAAACTCCAAGATTGATGGTAGATGGGCGTAAGTAATATGACTCTAGGTCCTCACACGTATCACTCTGCCTTGAGGCAGCTGAAACTTTACTCTAAACGTTTTATTAACACAATGTTGCTCGACCTTTCTACACTCGCGGCACACTAAATATTGTCGAAGTCATGATGACACACTAACCCAATTTTGCATATCGTGGGGGGGGGGAGGTAGATGGTTTGTGGAATTGATTGGCAGCTACAACTTCTTATAAATCGACCCCAACCGAAAAATGTTTTATTTCATGTTTATAATTATCCATCTTTATTATTGTCATTTATTTTAAATATATTCATTATTTGAAATAAATTAAAATATAATATAAACATCGCTGAGGTTCAGATTGCTTGGGGCTTTATCTCTACTCCCCCATACTTCTTTTGACAGGAAAAACCTTTACGCCTTAAGATTCGGCAACTTCTCTGACAGGTTGGTTAAGCGAGTAACCTAACTGCGCATTCAGGCGTTTGTATTTGTCTTGGATTAAGACGTTGGAAAAGAAACCTAAGGTAAACTGTACATGTAAAGATTCATCACAGGAGATTTATCGTATATTTTCCTTATTTTGAATATTGTTTAATATGTAACATTGTAACCTATGTCTGTACCTCAAGGATTTTCCTTTATCAGTCAGTAGTTATTTTTCTGTTAAAGAGAAGCCAAAGGATCTTCAGTTCCAACATAAATCATGCCTTTTGGCACTATCCTAATATATTTCAATCCAGTTCACATTTCCGTAATGCATTTGAGATTCAAATAAACATATCCTCCCATATAAGACTTTGTTTCTCATGCTGTTTCTTCTTGTGGAATTTAGAAGAAAAGTGTATGAGTTTTTTGTTTGTCGCGTTCACAAGGTATTCCACATCCATTCCAAAGACTGAAAGGAAGAGACCACTTGGAAGACTCAGACATAGATGGGGGATAATACAAAATGGATCTTTAGGACACAAGGTGGTGGAATGTGGACTAGATTTATCTGATGCAGTATAAGGATTGGCGGCATACTCTTGTGAACATTATTATTTAAGAAGTTTAATATTTTTCCACTACCCAGTGAATTCTTGCTCTCACTATTATCATTTGTAGTGGATAACATGGAAAAATTTCAAACAAATTTAGATATCCACAATATAAGAACAAGATACAGATCCAAAATTCATGTGCCGAATTCTAACATCAGTAAATATCAAAAAGGAGTTTACTATACTGGAATTAAGTGAATCAATAATCTTCCACCTACCATAAAAGGTTTAAATCACAATATATAAATGTTTAAGCCAGCATTAAAAGAGTATCTCCTATCTCACTCCTTGTACTCAGTAGAAGAATTTACATCACCCAAAATGTCTCAACTATTATAAATATATGTAAATGATAATGGTGATGGTTTCTCATCATAATTATTTTGCTGTAATACTGTAATTCCAAAAATATGTAAATAGCTGTTATAACTATGTATTTATATTTGTACTAGAAACAAGTATTGTATTTGTGCTATGAACTGTTCTGCATCCTTGGCTTAGGCCTATGAAGGATCTATGGAATGTAAATAAATTCTATTATATTCTATTCATGGTAATGAGACTTTGGGTTCCATAAAAGGCAAGAAATTTTTTACTAACTGAACGACTATCAGCTTCTCCAAAAGGATTTTTGCTGTATGGAGTTACGGTTCTCGGACCTCAATACAATTTATTTATGTGTGATAGAAGACATCTGAAACAGCACATGCTGTTTTAAAGACCTATACATTTTCTTCTTAAGTGGTTATTTATCACAATAAGACAAAAATAAATTTAGGTCACCATGTATTCTGCAACTGATTAATAAATATCACTGTTTATGTTGTGTCAGTAGATTATTCAGACCTCTTGTTAAGTTCAGTTCAAGGGTATCACATTTCTGTAATTACTGTGTTCTGTTCTCACATAGCAATATGTTTTTAAGATTTTGTTGTAATTGGCTGGAATATGGAATGCTGAAAATTTCTGTACTGAAGGATGACATTATGTCAGATTTGTCAACCTTTTCCTCAGATAAGAAGGCCATAACTACTTTCTGCCAGTTTTCATCGCAGTATAACAGCATCACAACAAAACAATGGGATTTGGGAATACAGAATTAACATTCACTTTGCCCATTTGTTCATTACCTGTAACTTTAACAAAAAAAAGTCTGAACATTGTATGATTTTTCTGATTATTTGTACAGAATGCATAAAATGAGACACTTTTAGTGCCACATATATAAATTTCTTCTTCAAAAATACGTACTAGATACAGATGAACTTTGCATGGTACTCAAATCAAAATTTATAGTTCTTTAATAAGTGGTTCATGATATTAACAATTTTAATACATGGTACAAAGTGAAGTATAGCTTATTTTACAAACCATAACTTTTTTCTGAAAAATTTTGTGATGATGTTTATATTCTAATTAAAGTGAATGTTTAATTGCCCATCATGTGAAAATAACGTTTTGGAAAGTGGATCTGTTTTCTTCCTCAGGCATAAAGGTGGAGTGTACCTACTCAGTCAGGTCTGTTACAGCTAGCCTCAATCACAGGACCATATTGACTAGTTTTGTCAGTAAAAGAACTAATTACTGTATCCAGTTCAGTGTCATCTAAATAGTTATCAATAATAGACTTGTATCATACTGAAATTAGAATATGTACCTTGTGCTTTTGTCCATTTGTGTTCTTTCAAATCATATTCATATTATCACACACTAACATTATGTATGCAAATGTACTTGATGTATTCCCAAAGTAATTGTAATTATTGTAGTATAATAAGCACAGAATTAGGTTTATTTTTATTCTGTGTAAAGAAGTCGTTGTGTTTTTACAGACTGCAATAAACTTAGAATGTCTTCCATACCTCAAGGAGCTTATGCAACATGGAAAGTGCGTATGAATGAAAGTAAGAATCAAGTTCCAGACACTAACAACATGCTATCTACAAAGAAAAAAGAATCAGAAAGAAACACACCTCAACAACCATATTATCCTCATATTTGTAAGAAATGTAAGAGTTTTACATAGTTTACTGCAAGATAAGATTTCCAGCTACTGGCATTACTAAAATATAGAGTGTACCACTTAAAACACAGCCCAAAAACAGCTGCATATTATGACATAAAATTTAAATCAGAAGCAAGTTCACCCCCGTGTGAGAGATTGTCCCAACCTCCCCTGAGACACTTGAGTCAATGTCACTCTGGCTTCTAAGCCTCTGCTACTGCTAGTTTTACAAAAGCTGTGAAGGTGTGAACATGGTGTATTCACAAACAGAATGTGCGTTTATTCTCCTACATTACTTTGCATTGAAATCATTTGCTGCTTTCATGAACCAGTTAATGCATATCCTGACACGAAAGTACCAAATAAGACAATACACAAGCTAGTAACAACATTTCAGGACACAGGTAGTGTTTTTCTGTGACAGTGATCCAGTGGTAAAACAGCTGAAATTATGGCCATATCAATTTCAATCAGTGCATTAGCTGCAACAACAAGATATGGCCGCAAGAATTCAATATTTCCATTGGTGTAATCATTTTATGTGTAAAGGGGTATATTTGTAGTAGTTGGGTTACATTTTAAATGGAACACTCTGTATAAGTACTGGATAGAATTACATGACATTGGCTTCTAAGAGTGGTCATCCAGGTTCAGTACCAGAATAGGCTGTTTTGGATTCGCAATGGAGAAATTGGCACTGGAGCATGATTTTCACCACCACTTCCTTTGCCAGTAATAATTTTACCAGTGCTCCATACTCATCTATCATGGACCCTATGGCATGTGGTAGTCTTACAAGCCAGCATGCTTTTGCAACATTTCATTCATAGTAGAGGCTTTGCCTTTGTTGGACTCAGACTAAGAACTTTAAATTAAAAATTGGCTTATAAAATATGTCAAGTCTTCTGTTATGTGTAATCTAAATATTCTCCTAAACATAAAATAGCTAATAATGGTAATCTGAAAACAAAATGAAAGCAAAAATTATTTGGTTTACTTTTAAAGCCTGCAACTCACAGAGTAGGAAAAGAGGTTCTAGATAGTCAAACATTTTGAGACAGTATTGTGTTTCTTCTTGCAGACCTAGAACAACCCCCTGCTAAATACAACAGCAAGCTAATGAACAGTATCTGGGGACTCTATAATCGCTATTCTGTGCATAACCTTAAGAAAATCACAGAAGGGGAGGAAGCTGTTCAGGGAGTACAGCAGCTGTAAGTACATTTTTGTTGAATCTATTTGTACAACATAGTTCATGTAAAATATTTTGGAATCTTTGGCTGATTTCAAGTGTCTACATCATAATGAGATATAGAAAAAGGAAATCCTCATTTTGTTGGATGTTTGGGTATGTTAATTAATAGTTTGACAGTGATCTTTTCCAAGTCATAAATGCATGATTCGAGCTCCTTGTATTTTGTGGATAAGATAAAAGCTGTTTGAAAACATAGCTGAACAAGTGTCACCTTACTTTATCTGTCAAATAAATGGATCTCCTGTCTATTCATTCTATATTTTCCTACAAATATACTCATTATATAGAAAATATTATTTTACCACTTTTTATTTATGTCTCATCATATGCAGTATATGGGACATTCTTTTTCATGCCCTGCTCTTGAATCCTCAAACACTCTACAACTCCTTGAATTTCATTACCGAAAATGTTGAGACAGGTTTTTATACAGTAATTAATTTTGCTTAAATTGAGATTATAATGGCACTGATTTGTATGCCTTTTTTATTTTTGGCGTTGTAGATTACAGCAGTCTGTACAGACTGCAATATGAGGCACATTTTGCTTTGTCACCCTTTTAACTGCATAAGGAACAAGAATACATAATTTTGTTAAAGAAAATAATATCAAGATAATGTTGACATATATGGAATATAGGTATTAATAATATGAGGCATTTAAGAGTGTATTGTTACAAAAACTAAAAAGTACAGTACAACCAATGTCAGCCCATGACATTGTATTCATAGTCACTATATTTCAGTGCCATATGAATCATTTGGTGACAGGGATTTGAAGTGGAGAGAGAGAATTTCATTTTGTGTTGAGAATAGTTTGTAATGAGTTCTTAAATCAAACAACTGATAGCTGTGATGCCTGTTTGTGTTAATTAATAGCTGTGCTGCTGCTACTCCATCCTCCTTGAGCTCTGGCTCAAAGGGAGGTTCACTGCATAACGGTCCACAACGCCATTCAGCCACGGATGCTTTCTGGACTGGGTCCATTTACTAGAAATATAATGGTATGAAATTAAACAGATTTTGAACTTCTTACCATTGAATTAAGATTAAATAAAGGAAAACCTATTGCAAATGGCTGCTAGATTACTGAACTTCCATTTCAGATCAATACTCTTAAGGTTCTTTTGTTTACTAACAAAATCTCCAAATGCAAATTGGTAATGAAACAAAATGTTAACATTTCATGAACTTTTAATTATCTGTTGTTGTAAATAACCATTCTACAGTAATAGCTTACTCATTTTTTTCACTGACTGCCTTTCCTTCATTGTAATTTAAATGCTCAGCAATAGCCCAAACTATGGGTATCTAGTAAGCTAAATATGAAATAAAAATTATCTTTGAAACACTTAAAACTAAATGTTTCTACAGGCTGTATTCATGAGCAGAGGACTGAATGAAATAGAATATGAACACGGTAACATCAACATTTATGTTTGAACAAGGTTAATTTAATAGTTTAACCTCATAATTATTCCTTTCCATTTCAGAGCCTCTGGTAGTCAATGGCGGAGCCAGACATTGTAATTCTGGTAGCTACTGATTGGGTAGTAGCTGGGCATCAGTAATGATATTCATGTGCCCCAGTGATGGATCATTCAATACAAAAGATATAATATTTTGTTATTCATACTATTAAGCATGTTTTGTACTCCTTAATACTTTGATGTTGACATACGGGCTTAATGATAATAAATCTGTAATTAATAACATGAGCACAAAAGATTATTAAATTAAAAGATCATTCATTTACTTAATCAGAAAATTCATGATAAGCTAAGAGTTGTTTAGTGGAATGAAATTCTGTTCATTGTTCTAGTCAGATTATGACAAAAATATTTAATGAACAGATTTTATGTGAGAAAGAAGCAGAAATACAAAGAATGAAATCAAATTCTTTGTCAGAAAGAAGATAATGGAATCTGAGACAGAGCAGATGTTTAAGTATTATTTTCTTTAAATAAGGACTGTAACACAGTGAGGACAACACAAGTTCTGTTCATGTAAGATTCCATGATTAAGAAGCTGTATTAATTCTATTGACCATAAAGACAGCTGTGATAAACATGTTTATGAATTGTTAATCTTTTAAGAATAAATATTATATCAGCATATAATGAAACTAAGTGGAGTTCTTGGTTAGATATTCTGTGTAGTTAATAGAACAAGAATAAATCCAATCTATTCTGTCTGGACTGGTCAAAGTTCTTTAATTTGTTTAAAATAGAAGTGTATATCTTGATCCATCCAACATTGTGGAAACTTTCCAGTTTTTAATATTCCTGCAAAATTGGATTCTTACATGATAACCTTTCCCCCCTTCTCTCTTCCTTCTACACAACCTGACAATGACAGCACTGAAATGCATTCCATTAATATTAGGAAAAAGTCTTGAAGAAACTCACATTACCGTTTCAAAACAGGAAATGATATAAATACAAGATACTGAGCCAATCAGGTAGAATTAATCTGAGCAGGAAACAAGACATTGAATTCTGTGGGACACCAGCATCCTGGACAAAAATCCAGACATATGGGCAGAATTGTCAGCGACAGAATTTAAGCCCCACACCAAAAACATAAACAGGGAAGATGGCTTCTGCTTAAGCAAGTAAACTTGTACCAGACTACACAATGCTGCAATCCAGAACATGATCATCTTCAGACTCACCACCATGAAAACCTTAAATCCTACATGTCCTTCATACTTTTTCCCATGTGCACTTGCATTGTGCCATGCAGTCTGGTAAAGGATGGAGGCTGCAAGCTCCCCTAAAACGTCGGTTAATATCTACCAGACTACACTACACAACATCCCACAAGACAGCCTGGTTATATAGTTGCTGCTTCCCCAATTCATTGAACATAAAGTAATGAAGCCTGAGAAAGTTCGTGTAACTTCTACCCTTCGAAACGAAAATATTTAAACATTAAAGAACGCTTTTACATTACAAATATCACTGATTAATGCTGCTTAGGGAAATAAGCGTAGTTTATTCTGACAATCGTACTTAGTCTTAAATCAATATGGAGAGCTACGATGGAGATTCACTAAATGAAAAGCTCACGATACATTAGCTAGAACAATAATTTAATTTCTAAGAATGGAATTCATTTTCTTTGTAAGCAAGCAAAGGCTTCTGCTAGTTTAATGCGACGACAGCCATAACCTAATTTATTTAAGATTTTTTATGCTGTTCTGTACGATTTTAATTTTGCTTCTTTTTGTTATTCGTCTCTCTGATGCCAGGTGGACTACACGCTTATTTTAATCTTTGGTGAACATGGAGGACAGAAGGCAAAATGAACATTTATTGTATACAGAAGAATACAATTTGAACTTTGAATGCGAATCTGATACATATTTGTCTCCAATATAATATCGATGTATGAAGAATTTAAGGTAATGGGAGTTTATAATGTCATTTAGTATTGTAAATGACTATCGTCAAGAGATGATCTCAGTTTTGCTATCTCTTTGGCATAGGACCCTTCAAATTAAGGGTTATGTTTAAGTAGGATAATTGTGTTTCGATTGGCATTGCCTTTTTTGTTGTTGATACCTGTTTAAGAGTAAAGCTGTATGTATCAGATAATGGGTCATTGTTTTATAGTAGATATGTTAATAACTTTCTGTGTCTTACGTGAGTTGTGCGATTTAATTCGATCAATTCATGTGAACTTTCTGCATTTCTGCAGTCAGAAACGTCCATAAGATCTATTATTTCGAGGGTCGTAATGATTAAGCTTGGGATTGGTTAAATGACGTTCGTTATGACATGAGTAAGTATACACATACGTTATAAAAATGCATTTTTTAAGTAGAAGATACTAAAGATCATGTCAGTTTAGTATTGATTAGAATTTTCAAAGTAACAGTTGTTGACTTGAATGCAATTGATTTTTTTTCTTTTACATGACAGGGAATTGCAGGAAATCTTCATTTTTGACATTGCATAAGAAATGGCAGTGGATTTGGCAAGTGCATTACCAGCTTCCTGCATTACTAAAACCAATATAAGTTCCTTTTGTCGAATATGTGCAACTGCGGGTTCTGGTAATTTGTTCTCAATCTTCAGCCAGGAGGGTGAACTGTGGAATGTAGCCGAGAAGATTGGACGTTGTTTGCCAATCATTGTATGTATGTTTGGCAAAATTTGTTCAAAGTGCTCGTCTTAATTGAATGTATTCACAGTTATTTACAGTTCCATGTTTTAAGAGTTGGCTCTTGTTTTATGTTTATATTTGATCATTTCCCTAAACTAGACCTGACCACTTTCTTATGAACCACTCCTTATCATTCTTCACATCTGCAGTGTGTTCGATTAAGAATCAATCAATGACAGTGTTAACATTTCTAAATATTTTATAGAGATTTGTTAATGTGAAATCATGTTTCCAGGTACTTCCAACAGATACATTGCCATTAAACATATGTATCCGATGTCTGATGAAACTCAACACAAGTTATGAGTTAGTGATTATGGCTCTTAATTCTGAAGCTGAACTTAAAGCTACATTTGATTTCACTGAAGACTCTTCTATGCAGCTGGAGGTATTTCTGCTGTTATTCTTTAGCTACACAGAATTAAGTGCAAGTGTTTCTTAATGTGCTAACCAAATTTATTTTCATAGAAGAATTTTTTTACACAGATGTAGATGTCATTTACATAGTTTGGTTCCATGTTGAAACATTTTGTTTTTAATTAAGAAATGTTATAGAATAACATATGAGCCGGGATAGCTCAGTCAGTATAGTGACTAGCTACGGGCTGGACGACCTGGGTTCGATCCCCGATGGGGGCAGAGGATTTTTCCTCTAGCCTCTGCGTCCAGACCGGCTCTGGGGCCCACCCAGCCTCCTCTACAATGGGTACCAGGGTCCTTTCCCGGGAGTAAAGCTGGCTGGGGCGTGATGCTGACCACTCACCCCCATCTAGTGCTGAGGTCAAGGAAGAGAGGAGCTATACCTCCACTCACCCCAAATGCCTACAAACTTTACTTTACTTTATAGAATAACATCATATATTTATCTTGTGAAGATTATATTTCAATTTTCTCTTCCTGTTCACTTTTTCAGGCTGTTAAGGGTCATCATTTTACAGGTGTGTTTGTCAAACGAGAAGAGTCACCCAGTGAAATGAAGCAGGAAATGTTGCACACTATTGAGGAGTGAGTAAAAAACACTGTGTTACAGTGTAGCAAAAGAAGTTACTTATTGGCTCTATAGTACTGTTGGAATTTTAAGAAAAAGCACTGCGTGCTACTGATGTTTTAAATCACTAACTGATTCGGACTAGAAGGGTCAGTGATTTTAATGAGATATAATTGTGCATGGCATGGAAAGCGTCAAACTTTGGTAAAATAAGAATAACTGAAGCCATTGTGCTAGTGATATGGGCTGTTTCTCTATGGGTAGTGGTATCTGCATAGATATTTTGATACATGCTTCAGATCATATTCCAAAATAAATTTGTATTTTATGTGTACCTCAGAACTTTTAAATTAATTGATCAAGTTTAGTGAAACTTGTTAAGAGTGTAATTCTATAGAAGGTCTCTCTCACGCTGTATTTTTCAAAAGTCTGTTTTAAACTTTATGCACAAGGACATGTAACATTGTGAGAAGAATTGATATAAGTATCACTCAGTATATAATCCTGACATTTTGTTTAGTAAATATTTTTAAAAATATATACATTGTTTAGAAAGGTAATTTGTATATCAGGACTGATTTATATTAAGGAAGGTGTTGCTTTGTATAATCTGTTGTATTATTTTAAATTTAATATTGTGATTTTGTTTTAGATTAACAACTGAATATGAATGTGAAGTTGTTATATCCACTGAAACCAAAATTAGTGAAAAGGCAGAAGTGGGAGATTATGTAATGACTGAGTCTGATTCCAGTACATTCAAAGAGCAAATTAAAATTCCAGAGGATGCAACTGGATATAAAGAATCAGGAACATTTGAAGAACAGAGTTACAAATGCAGAACAGATGTTGATATAAAAAGAAGTGATGTAGAATTACTTATAAAAAATCACAGTATAATCAGCAATGACCAGTTGAAGTCTGTGAAAGTACCATCACTGTCCATTTATGGACCAGCAATATGTGATTTGTGTGATGTGACATTCACTGATATGGATGAGTTTGATAATCATGTTGCAGGTCAGCATCTTCAAAAATATAAGTGGCATTGCATCCATTGTGATGATAGCTTTGAGCATTCACAAGATCTTGTTATGCACAAAGCAATGACTCATGGTGAAAAGCCAATATCTTGTGGGCAATGCCGAGAAAAGAAATTGGTTGATGAAAATACTGGAGATGAAGGAATTGAGGAAGAGTGGCTTGAAGAAAATGAAACACATGTTGATGAAAACAAAATTCCAGCTAACAACAGCAAAGATAATTCAGAATTTTACTGTGAACTCTGTGATAAGAGTTTCTGTGATGAAACTAAATTGAAGGATCACTGCTTGGTTCACTCACCACTGTCTTTGGTGTGCAGTAAATGTGGCCTCAAGTGCAGCTCATCATATCAGTTGTCTGTTCATAAGAAGAGCCATTTGCGAAATTTTAAAGAGAGGCAATACGTTTGTGAAGTGTGCAGGAAAACGTTTCTGAAGCGCGTTATGTACAACATCCATCGCCGACACTGTAGCAGCAAGCAGTACACATGCAATTTATGTGACCGCACTTTCTGGCGGCAGTACAGCCTCCAGTTGCATATGAAGGTCAGTTTTGTTTGGAGAGGGGAAGCAGTTAACATTGTCCTATTAAGAACTGTAGAGGACAGTACCCCATGAAACAGAAACAGCACAATAATTGTGAAAAATACTGTTAAGCATTTATACCCCATTAAGTATGTGATTTATATGTGTCTGTGTGTGTACATATGTGTGCATGGGGAATTGTTTCTTCTTTTACATCATGACTGTCATATGCTTATAGAGCAAGTTGCTAGCCAGTGTATTGTTTCTTTTGATTAAATGATATCACAACACTGCATAGTCTACTTGGATACTTTATTTGTATTGAAAAATATTTTCACTGAAGCAACTTTTATTTGACTGATATTACAATAGCTGCTGAAATCTGTGTCCTCCAGAATTAGAGAACATTTCCCAAAGAAAGGTTCTTTTGCATGTTGATGTTCACTTTTTGTGATTTTTGGAATAACATTCTGGATTTTGGTCTGATGCCTCCAGAGTATCATGAAATTTAATACAGAATTGTAAATATAGTGCAGTACTATTATCACAGATCTTCCATTTCAGTTTCTGTGGGTACATCCATATGTAGCATAAATAAACTACTGTTTTTCTACATGTAAAATTAAAGAACAAAGAAGTAATCTATTCTCCATGCTATTCTTTCCAAATTCTAAAATGCACTATGTAAACATCTATTTGTTATTGTTTATTGTAGTTGGTAATACACCATAAGACACTGATTGAACCTTTTTTATGTCATGCAAATATTTACAAAATACTCTTGCAAGTGAAGTATGTATTTACATTGTCTATTACGTGGTACATATTAATAGATTTTATATTTTAATGCCACTGGTGTACAGATCAAATTTACCATCATTGATGCAAGAAGTCTGTATTAAATATATTAACATTTCTTTATTTATTCTTCAGTTATTAGGTTATGGAGCTAATTGTATGTTTCAGTTTGATGTGTTTTACAGGTTCACAATCAAGTGAATAGACAATATGAGTGTGACTGTGGACAGAAGTTTGATACACACAGCACATTCCAAGCTCACAAGAAGACACATGAGAGAGTAACCACAATGAAATGTGTCACATGTGAAAAGGTGTTTACTAATGAGACTTTCTACAAGAAGCACAGATTTGTAAGTGTAAAGAGGTATACATTAATGTAGTCTCCAGAAGATTGTTTATCTTCCAGTAAATATCCATAGTATATTTCCAATATGGTTCCTAAATGAACATGGTTGTATGAAGTGAGTCTGTGTTACTGACAACTATTTAACTGACTCATTTACATGAAATTTTGTAGGACTGTAATATATTATGTCATATTTCCAACCCGATAATCTAGATAGATTAGAGATTAAGTTTTTATGGAATAGTAAGAAATAAATCAGAAGGGATAAAATATAAATCTGGGGTGTGGGCAAGATCTGAGAAATTAGTGAAATTAAGATTACAGTGATCAACAAGATGTTCCAGGTAGAAGTCATAAAGCCAACTTTGCTATTGCATACTCTCTTCATCTTCAGGACTGAGTTGTATTTTCTCTATTTGTTGGAGTTAATTATCTGCTTCTTTCGCCACTTTGCAGATACATGATCCAGAATACTGGGATCGTTTCAAGTGCCAAACATGCCAGCGCCCTTTCAGAGACGCTCATGCACTTAAGAACCATATGCAGCTACATGCTGGCATGAAACCTCACATGTGTGATCTCTGTGGGCGTACCTACAACAGGTATGCCAATATGGTATGTATCATGCTCTTAATTATAAGGAGGAACAGAGATACAAGATGTACTTGTACATGTGTGTAATAAAATCAGTAATGAATCTATGATTTATTAATTTTGTCTATAATATTTTTAAAAGATTTCTTAATGTTATTGTGTTGAAGGTTGCATAGTTAGGGACTATTTTTGTTTTAATGCATTTAATAATTATGCCATAAGACCTGTAGACTTCTAATTTTATTTTCAGTTGAAGCATCGCAAACTACATAAGCCACAGAATCTTTGGGAACATAACTGCACACACTGTGGGGCAAGATTTGAGCATTTGAAGGACCTTATGTTTCATATGGAGCAAGCACACATGATTGGTGACCCAGCAGGAGAAGATGCAGAAGGCAGGAAGTCATCCATGAAGTGGATATGTCGTTTCTGTGGAAAGCGTATTTCTACAAAGCTCAGCCTTCTAGACCATGAACATATCCATACAGGAGCCAAACCTTATATTTGTGAGTGGTGTGGACGTGAATTTCGTTCTCGACCGAACTTGTTGCAACATCATCTCACCCACACAGGTGATCGGAAACATGCTTGTGCAGTATGTGGTAAACGATTTGCACGCAAGTCATTTGTTGTTCAGCATATGAGGATACATACAGGCGAAAAACCATTTGAATGTGATATCTGTGGCAAACGTTTTACACAGGCTGGGGATATGAGGCGACATCGTGGACGTCACATTGAACAGCAGAAGGAACAGGTTGAATTATTTGTACAAATCCAAAAATAATGAAGGTGTATTAAAAATAAGAAATTGTAATTGCAAGGCTGCCACTTCTTCATTTGTAATATTTTATTTTTTAAGTGTTCCTGTTACCTGTAATTAGTTATTACATACTGATGCCACTTTAGTTTCTACTTGTTCTTTTTTCCTGCTGTACCATTTGTTGTTTTTTGTAATTCACTCTTTACAGTATCAAGAGATTGAGGGTTTTTTATAACTTTGTAACTCTTCATACATAATTACCATGATATGTGAATGTAGTCCGTTATGGAAGTTTGAGAAAGATCACTGTTTTTTTTTAAATGAACTGGAGAGCAATTGGGAAAAGAAGTTATGCTTAGAAGAAGGTACCCAGGAGGTTAGAAGAGATATGGGATTGTGGAAAGTGGGCATCTGGAGATTGAAGAGTGTTAGGAAATGTAGATCAGGGAATGTGCCCTATGTGAAATAAAGGAGGAGGTTAAAGCCACAAACTGAGATCTGAGAAAGCTAGAAGTTTGAGGGAAGAGCTTGTAGACGAAAGATCCACAATGAATCAGAAGGATAGCTACAATTAAAGATAATGACAAACAGCAAAACACTGTAAAGGGAAATAGGTAAGATCAGTGATGAAATATAAATAAAACTGAGGGGTAATAAAGATGAGAGATGTGGTAAGACTAATGTTAAGATATTTTGAAGTGAACATAAGACCAGAAAGTCATATCCAACATTGTAAACTGTAACCAGCATATTTAATAAAGATCAATGTCATTTAAGCCATATCTCATTTTTTGATTCATAAGAGGTGACATTATTAATTATGGAGGAGGTGAAACAGGTCATGGAGACATCAAAATGGTACTTGGCTGTAGCTCAAATGTATAAATGGTTTCCAGGTATGAGAGGAAGGAAAAATGTTTCTGTTAATGCCTACATACTATTCACTTGTGTATTATTGTGTTCTCACTTGTAACACAGACTGCACCAATAAATGCATCATATTGTAGTGTACAATAAATTGACTGATAATGTGGGGAGCTTGTAGCAAATGAGGCATTAGAGTTGTCCTCTAGCAGACTAAATGGCTTAAGAACTAGACACCTTGTAACATATTTGATCACTTCTTTATATACACCACATGAAGTGTTTCAGTTTTACTCTATTTTCTTCTTTGTCATGATGTCGAGGTTTCTTAATGAGGAGCTTAATAAATTGTACTCCTTGCCAAATAAAATTAGATCAAGTCAAGAAGGGTGAGATGAGCAGGGAATGTAGCCTGCATGGGAAAGAAGAGGAATGAATGCAGAGTTTTAGTGGGCAAACCTTAGCAAAATAGACTACTAGGAAAACCTAGATGGAGGGAGAATAATATTAAAATTCATCTTTGAGAAATAGGATGGGGTGGTGTGGACTGGATTCATCTGGTTCAGGGCAGGGAAAAGTGGTAGGCTCTTGTGACCACAGTAATGAACCTTTGGGTTCTGTGAAATGTTGGGTATTTCTTGAGTGGCTGAGTGACTGCTGGCTTCTCAGGAAGGACTTGTCTCCATGAAGTAAGTAAGCTGTCATATCTTCATGGCTGCAAAATAGTAATTGACATGTGGCATCAACTGATGGAAAAGTTTTGGGTTTGTGGGTTGTGACATGGTGTCATAACCCAGAAACCCATGATCTAGAACGGGTTCTCAACCTTTTTCGCTGGCTTAACACTAATTCTAATTTAACACATTAAATGTACCACTAACCAAATGCGTTCTGGGAAAACCGTTATTTATGTTAATATTAACTTTTGATATCCTTATTTAGTTCGCGTACCACTCAACATTGGCTCGCGTACCATAGATTGAGAAAGGCTGATCTAGAAGGTAGTTTCATGTTTAGCGCCATTTGAGGTATCTGTTAGTATTAAGTCTATGGAAGCAGAGTTTTAAAACTGTGGAAGTCATCTGTGGCTTACTTTCTGTCACGCTATTATGATATAGCTATATTTTTGTCATCCGTGATGTAGCTGACCCGTGCAGTTTACCACATGTTGATGTTAAATCTATTCTGTTCACTAGTTTTGTAAGGAGTGGTGCGATAGTGGTTATGGTAGTTTATGATGACAAAGTGTGGTTGTGATATCTGTGTTGCGTAGTTCTAAATTCGTAGTACACAAATGTTATTAATAACTAGCGTCAGAATGATGCTAATACTGATAAGAATTCATTATTTATAACCTCATGTATTTATAGAAGTTGTCATGGTAGAAAATTATAATATCAATAATAATTTTAGAAAATGAGCACTTCAGTACAAGCAGGTAGGGTTTGGCCTTGTAGGTTAGGTTGGTGCGTTTTTCCTAAAAGTTTAATAATTTCTGTCACCGGCCACAATTTAAGCCATTGATTTTACTCATCTGCCATTGTACACAATTTGACGATTTTATAAAAGCAAAAATGTCAAATGCACTGATGCAGCAATTTGTTGCGGGTCTTAAGTCCCGAAATGCCGAGACTCGTTCAAAGGCAGCAAGAGACTTATACCACTATGTAAGTACTCTGACTGACCCTTGTTACTCATTGGTACGGTTATTAAGGCAGTTATTTTCAAACTATTGTGGTTTGCCATAGGTCAAGACAGAGCTTCGAGAGGTTTCTGTGGAAGAGCTCACCTCATTTATGGACGATTTCAACCATCATATCTTTGAAATGGTTTCAGGATCTGATGTGAATGAGAAGAAAGGAGGGATTCTGGCAATTGGTGAGTGATAGTGTGAATGGGGTAAAATTGATCATAATGAGAAATTCTCATACTATTATTGGAATGGCAACAATGACAAACATGTAGGATTTGAGGTTTTCATAGCCGTGAGTCTAAAGATGGCTGTTTTCTGTGTTGTTGCACCATGTAGTCTGGAAGAAGTTTACCAATGTTTAAGAATTCCTTGCTGTCTTCATCATTAAGGTGAATACTCATTGCCCTGATAATGGAGGCATCAAGGATCTCTGAAATGTTGGAAAACTTCTTCCAGACGACATGGTGCTACAACCCAGAAGACAGCCATCTAATGACAAACATCTTCAAACTATTTATAGTCATAAGATTTCTTGATATCAAATTAGGAGATGGAATGATGTATGAAATGTTTATCATATTATACACATTGTCTTTAAGAAGGTGAATTTATTAAAAAAACACTATTGAGTTATATTTAGTCATTGTGTTCAGATAACAAAATGGGTGTGTTTCAGTTTGCCTGATAGGTGCAGATGTTGGTAACATCAATACTCGCATCAGCAGGTTTGCAAATTACCTGCGAAACTTATTACCATCAAGTGATACTGGTGTGATGGAATTGGCTGCAAAGACAGTAGGGAAATTGGCACTTGTGTCTGGTACATATGCTGCAGAATATGTAGAATTTGAGGTGAAAAGGGCCTTTGAATGGCTTGGTGGCGATCGTCATGAAGGCAAGAGACATGCTGCGGTGAGCTATGTATGGATAAAGCTGTGAATTATTCTGCATCTTTTCTTTTTTGCAGCTTTCATAATTATATCCATATAACAATGGTTCTGAACATTTTCTTGGTAGACAGACCCTGTAATATATTCTGATATTGTGTGAAATTAATTTTCATTCTGTCTTCTGGGTTTTGTAAACACATTTGTATATTTCCAAAGTATCATTTGTATGTAGAAAATAATAAGCATTTTTAATATAATGCAGATTTCTATGATCCTGAAAATGTTCATGTAGCCTTCAGTTTGTTGGAACTGTAGCTTGAAAATATTGTATTAGAAAATTTGTGTATTATAATAGTAATTAGTGATTATGCAGTAGGAATACTTTGGTATATTTTCATAGTGCTTGATTAGATGGACATAGTGAATGAGAATATATGGAGTGATGCAAAGGAAGGATTTATTTCTTACTTCTGATGATATTTTTATAAGGTTTTCATTTAGGTTATGTTCCTCTTTGTCACCAATTATAACCTATTTTTCTCAAATTTAATAGGTGCAGAACTAAGTACATTATGATCTAATGCTGTTAGGTGGAGTAATATTGTAGTTAGCAATATATTAAACCACATGAAATAGGATGAAAATTGTAGAATGTATCGGAAGCGTTGAATATACAGTTGTCTGCAAGAAATTAAAATAAAGCATTTGCATTGATTGTTCCGTGCTATAAGTAATGGAATTTTATGAAATAAAATTTTGTCCAGAGAAGCACAAAATAGAGACTGAAACATTTCAAGATTGTATTTGAGGATACAGCTGTACATTGAAAGATTTAACCAAAGGAAAATTACGTAATTTATAAATTGTTCCAAAGGTTGCTAGTCTTGTCTTGACTTTAAATTTCTCACAGTTGAAATACTGTGGTAGAGATGTCAGCTGCATTTAGATAACAACTCTACTCTCATGGTGTGATTTTACAATAAATCTCAGACTGAGCCTTGGCTTGTAAACAACTCATACCTGTCCATTGCTTTACATGTTGTGGTTAATGTTTACAGGTGCTTGTTCTTAGAGAATTGGCAGTTTCTATGCCAACATACTTTTTTCAACAAGTTCAGCAGTTCTTTGACCTCATCTTTAATGCAGTTCGGGATCCAAAATCAGTAATTAGAGAGGGTGCTGTAGAGGCATTGAGGGCAGCACTTGTGGTTACCGCACAAAGAGAGACGGCCAAGCAGACACAGAAACCACAGTGGTGTGTATGAAATGTGGAATTGAAACAAATGTGGGACTACAAATTTGCTGGTCACCAATGTTCTCATTGCATCTACTCTAAATAAATTTCTGCAGGTGGAGAAATTAACTCTCTTTATAACACCAAAGGGTAACAAAAGGCATATACTTTTTTAATGTTAATTTTTGCTCATTGGTGTTACATACATCAGGTGTAAGCAATGCTATGATGAGTCCACAAATGGATTTGATGAAATATATACAAGAGAAAAGGGTGTCAATCGTGATGATCGGGTCCATGGTTCATTGCTTGTACTCAATGAGTTGCTGAGATGCAGCAATGCTGAGTGGGAGCGCAGCTACGAAGAACTGATGGACCGGGTGCAGTACCAGCAAGGACAGCAGGCTAGTGTAAGTTTTTTTAAAATTATAATCATAATGAAACATTGACATTTACAGTGGGCTGAGTCACGTTCTCTGCTTATCTATATCCTCCACAAATTATTCAAAGCAAGTTTATTATGCCATGTATGATATAAGTATATTTTATAAACTACTAGACAGCAACTGGAAAATCTATGAACAGAGAACTAAATTTGAATTGTTATGATTGATTTATTACACAGTTAATACAAATATTACAATGTTTTTCAAAGTGTGAATTTTACTAGTAAAAATACATTAATTTTCTTTATCATAACAGACTTTTCCTCTGTGTAAAATAGCTCTACAGTTCTTATTGCTTGAATTTTTTTATTATTTTGGTGTCCATATTGGAAAAAGAGCAATGTCATTTGAGTAGATTTTCACTGTTGGCCAGTGCTCCTTATTAAGTTGGTTATCTGCTATAGGACTGTATGAGTTTGATGCCCCAGCTAAAATCACCACTAGTACTAAAGTCACAACAGGGCAAAGGGAGCCCAATTGCAGTGTCATCTCCTGTTGGGAACCATCGACTATCACTATATGAAAGTGCAGCTTGTCGACAGCTGATGACTGAGCGGTTTGATGATGTATGCAGAGATGTGCTGAGCCAGCGGAACTCACGCAGCTCCCACGTCCATCACACATTACTAGCAATACTACCAAGGCTTGCAGCTTTCAACAAAGAGAAGTTTGTTAAAGCGTGAGTATTGTAGTGAAGTAATTTATTAGGGATGAAAAGATCATATTGCTGTTGTCAGTATGTATGTTTCCTAAAAAAATTTGGAAATAAAATAATATGACAGATTGAATATACTTATAAAGTACATTCATTTAAATGTTTGCTTACTTTTGAAACTTTAATTAACTTGTTCATGATGGTATGATGTGATCCTGCTGTGTGTTATGTCTTGTGATTGCCTTGAACTGTTGTACTTTAATGTGACTCCCAATACCTGACAGTGAGCTGTAAGGTTTATACATAGCACACTAGGAGTTTTTGCCATTTGTATTCATTAGTTGTAACTACTTTTCATTCATATAATTGCACTTAATATAAATTATTTTAGAAATTTTTAAAATTAATTATTAAACATTTTTTATTGAAACATAAATGAGTTCTTTTTTTCTGTGACAGACATTTAAATGTATCAATGCAGTATCTTCTGTCAAACTTGCGAGGCCGTGAGAAAGATCGCAGTACTGCCTTCACTACAATTGGTTTGATTGCTGTAGCTGTTGAGGATGATATTAAACCATATCTTCCAAGGATTATGGAAGTTATTAGACTGTCACTTCCTGCAAAGGTGAGATCCATTTTAATAATAATGACAAACAGGAGTAATGCATGAATGCAATAAAACAAATTATTTTCTGTTGTCTTTAAAATTTGTTGGGTATCAAATTGTTAAGTAATAATAATATATAGAAACACACAGGTATTAAGTAGAAAATTCAGTTGCTAAGTTTCATTATATAGACTTAGAATTTATTTGCATTTCATATATCCTTCATAGTACAAACCATGGATGTAAAATTTGTGAAAGTATGAATATGAGCACTTAGTAGAATAAAATACCAAAACAGAAGTATAATTGCATAGTTATTACAGCTATTTGTGTAAATATTAACTGTATATAACAATTTTCAATTAAAGTGAATTGTAAAGAGTGGAAGCAGTGAGATAAAAGATAATAAGGCATTTGTGAGAGTGTTTTATTGTAGCCTGGTTACTGAACATCATGTCTTTGTAATAAACATTCCTGTTTTATATTTAGGAGATTCTTGTTTCAACTCTTTGCTGATATCCTGAGATTTTTCATGGATTTCTTGGTATCTCCTGGCAAATGCTTGGGTATCTACTTATATTGGCTAAAATAATCTTCTTATGCACCTTTTCCCATTCATTATTCATCCTCTCATTAAGTGCTGTATAGTCTGAGTTACTGGCAACATTATTAAATTAACCATAACAAATAATCTTCCCTTTCCTAAGATGCTTCAAATTCATGTGGGTTGTCTGAAACCAAAAACAAAATTAGGGTGTAGTTAAACGTGTATATAGTAAATTTTGACATGGTTTACTAATATACAGTTTTTAATGTTGAAACACTGGTTGTGGTTATGGTTCATGTTAGTTGAGTAAATGTGAGGAAATCAACACATTTTGTTCTGTATATTGAGTATGTAGAACTGAGATAACATGTGTAAATACTGTTGTGTGTCCCTTTTCAAAAAATGTATTATCTTTGTTTTAGAAGGGCCAAATGTTTATTATTAACATTACCGTCAATCCTATTGCTTCTAGCCCTAAAAATTGAAAATAACAAGGGATGGCTGTGCCCTAGATAAGAATCAGGAAAAGCTGAAAGAAAAACGTTTTATGTGGTTTGCTATCTTGTAACATATATAGGTATGAATTACATAGCTCTGGCTATGTTAGATCATTTTAAGTCTAGTGAATCATGCTTCAAGGAGGCCAAGGCTTGACTTCGGGCTGTCACGCCATAGAAGAAGAATCATGCTTCATTGGTTCAGTTGGTTCACTAGCAGGATAAGAATTAATAATTTTACTGATAAACTATCTAGAAGAACCCAAAGATGTTTTTAATTTGGAAGAAGACAATAACGTCTCAATTTTACATTGTGTTTTGTCATAGGATTGATTGCATCTGGAGCTAGCAGAGTGTCTGAGTGATACCATTGTGATTTGATTTGTTTTTCATATAGGATACTCCCAGCAAGAAGAGAGGAATGCCTCTGGAGCCAGCAGTGTTTGTGTGCATCACACTGTTGGGGCATGCAGTTAAATTGATGATTAGGTCTGATGTACGAGATTTATTGGAACCCATGTTAGCTACAGGACTCAGCCCTGCCCTGACTACTGCACTTAGAGAACTGGCATTCAGTGTACCACAGCTAAAGAAAGAGATATCTGAAGGTAGGAAGATTTGTATACAGGGTGATTAAAAAAATTATTGCAAGAAGAATATGCATGTTTTACATAATCCTCTGTTGTTTACCATTTGCATCATATTTTGCAGGCTTGCTAAGGATGTTGTCACATGTTCTCATGCATAAACCATTACGCCACCCTGGAATGCCACGCCACCTAGTGGTATCATCTGCGAGTTCAGCTGTGACATCATTGTCATCGCATGGGCTTGGACTGGAATCACAGGATGTTTCCAGCATTGTGTTAGCATTGAGGACATTAGGAAGCTTCAATTTTGATGGTAATGCTACTGTCTGGCACTGAAGTTCTGAGGGCTTTCACACATGGGTAGTTATATTTCAAAAGTCTTTAAGAGTTTAATCTGCAAAAAATTCTCCTTGTGCAGAGAAATGTTGATTACTATCCTGCTCACCACACTGTTCATGGTAAATAATAGTTGTTGTTCTTATATGTTTATCCCCTCGATTCATATTTTAAATTAAGAAGATAATTTTTTTGTGTTGCTTAATGTGGTGTAAAGCCATCAGCTACTGATATCTGTGCGGGAACTTGAGAAAGTTCTGGGATAGAAGCCATATCTTGAATCCAGAAGTGCTAAGGGGCCATTAAACACACTTGCCTTTAGAAGTTACATACTTCTGTCATTTCTTTGAAACATTTCTGCACGAAATAAATTACGTATTGGTGTGGCTGATGCCTTTATTTATGGTCTGTTTTACATTACTGGTCTCTGCCTACCATCACCTTGGTGAAGGATGCCATTTCTAAGGTGAGAAAATTATGAGGCTGACTTCACTACTTCTGATACTTGTAAAATGAGGACAGTGACTGACTGAGAAGACCTGTTGTAGGTGTTTGGTTTGTGGGCCGTTTGATAGTGCTAAACGTACTGAATAAGTTACTTAATGTTGATTAAGAGGATGGGTGTGTATATGTGAGTAAAAGGAGAAATTTGCAGTGTTAGGGATAAGATTTCTATGAAAAAGGGATTTTAATTTTAGATGTTGTGTAAGTGTGTCTTTATATCTTATTTTCTGTATATATTTGGGCACGTGCAGGTGTGAAGGCTAAGGTAGTAATTTCTTTGTAGGTCATTCATTGCTACAGTTTGTCCGTCGATGTGCTGATCATTTTTTGACAAGTGAACAGCAGGAAGTGAGGTTGGAGGCTGTTCGAACATGCAGTCGATTGTTAAGGCTTGCCCTACAAGGTGCCACCAGTCGGCATTCAGACACTGTTACAAGTACAGTTGCTGATGTGCTGGGGAAACTTCTTGTTGTTGGCATTACAGATACTGGTGAGAATTTTCCTTTCTTTCACACATCAGCTATGTTCAATAACTGTCCATCATTGAATGAATATTTGATACATATATGTAACAGGCAGAATATTTATACTAAGATGCATTCAGCATTAAGAATAGAGAATATTTGTCAGTGGGCATTTGCTTTAACTTTTGCTATGATATTTTCAAGTTTAGACATAAATAACAGCTACAACAAATGTTATTTTTATTTTAAGTCACATTTGTGAAAGGTATAAGAATTTTACTTTGGGAGATACTAGTGTTGTTCCCACCTGAATTTATTCACTGCATACAAGGGCAATGCAGACATGACATCAACCTTCAAAGATGATTTTACTTTTGGACACCAACGTAATGATCTAGGTCATCAGCAGTTAACTACAGGATTTACAGTAAGTAACAAAAATTCAGATATAGAATAAGTGGTAAAATTTTATGGTATTCCCATGTAGCATTTTTGTTTTTCTTCAATTCATGGATTAGGCTGATGTTCTGTTCCAACTTCTGTGAAATCCACCTTCTGCATGGTCTTCCAGGATCTCTTCCTCATTTGGGTCCAAAGGGCCTGTTTTGGCATTCATCCTTTTTCCATCCTTTCCACATGTTCTGGCCAATCTTGTTTGTGTCTTCTTATCTGTTATTAATTGAAAATACTCCTAATTCTTCTCTTATATCTTCATTCCTACTTTTGTCCAATCTTGTACACCTCTTCACAGATCTTAAAATTTAATTTCCACTGTTTGTAATTTTTGTATGTCTCTTCCTCATTGTCCACCATTCACTTCCATATAGTAATGCATTTTTGTTATAAAATCTAAATTCTTTGGTCTCATGAAAATTATTGTGTAGGTGTTCCACAATTGTGGAATAATTTTCCTGATGCTTGTGTTAGCAGTAAAACACTACAACTCAGTTTTGGGTGACCTGAAAATCAGCGATGATAATTGTATTATAGTATTTTTACTTCTGATGCTATGTCTTTGTGAAGGCCTCCATAAGGTTTTTTTTGAGTAATTCTGTTGCATTCATTAATAGATGCGGATGTTCGTTACTGTGTACTTGAATCACTGGATGACAGTTTTGACAGCCATCTGGCTCAAGCAGAGAACCTCAGTGCTCTCTTTGTGGCAATGAATGATGAAGTGTTTGAAATCCGTGAGCTTGCCATTTGTACAATTGGTCGTCTGAGCTGCATGAATCCTGCATATGTAATGCCATCTCTTCGGAAAACCCTTATTCAGGTTAGATTTTATTTTTAGTTTGTCAGTATAAATTAAGATTTTAGTTGTTTGTAGATGTGTGAAGTAAGTTAATTATTTATTTTATTTTTGTGTATCTTAACATCTTTTTAAAGAAATGACAGATGTATGCTGTTTCAGTTCTCAGTATTGTAGTAAGTTTTTGCTTATTTTTAAACTACAGTTACTTCCAAACTCATACTTCTTTTTTGAATTGTGCAGTGGTATGTTGTTACATTCTTTTTGTATATTCATAGTAATGTAAATACTTACTCATTTTCTCCCAAATACCTTTCTAACTGTATGAATGAAATGTGCATCAGATTAGTGCCTTTTTCTAACCTTGGTGCTGGATGTACAAATATATGAAGTATATTATTAATTCATTTGAAATTGTATTAAATTTGTGCCTGTCTAGATTCTTACAGGACCTGTGATTTAGTTTTGCTAGTAGTGTGCCAGTATAAGACTACCACTTGGATCTCCAACTACATGTTTTTATTGGGAAAGTTAACACAGTTTTGTCTTTAATCGATATGAATATATTTAAAAACATTGTTAACAAATTTCTCAGGTTATCTCTTACAATGGTTTTAGCCTCTCTTGACACATTAAAGTTTTCCTTCACTGATTTTTAGTTGTTGTTTTTTTCACTCCAGTAGTTCATGTTATAACATTCATTATTCATTTAGGAATAACAATCTTCACTATTACGTGTTATTGTCCTGGACCAGTATTTTATTGTATTGCCATTTTTAATACAAATTAATTAATGAACAGTCTCTGAGTCTGATATTGATCGTAAATAGTACATGATATGGTCATACATACAATTTGAATGTATCGTGTGGTTATGTATTTCTGAATGGAATTTGTGTTATTGAATTACAGTTCCTGACAGAACTGGAACACAGTGGGATAGGACGCAACAAAGAGCAAAGTGCACGCATGTTGGATCACCTGGTAGTGAATGCCCCACGCCTTATTAGACCATATATGGAACCCATTTTGAAGGTGCTTGTGCCTAAGTTGAAGGAGCAAGAGCCCAATCCAGGTGTAGTGGTCAGCGTTCTTACTGCAATTGGAGACTTAGCAGAGGTTAGTTTCTCATCTCGATTCTCAACATTTTATGAACTAATAAAAACAGATTTTCACAATGTAAATTTTAATGGAAGAAATAAAGTTAATTTGTAATATATAATTTCTGTAGAATTTTATCTTGAGTGTAAAAAAAATGTGACTGAGGAAGTCTGTACCTGAAGATGTAATTTTATAATTGCAGATTTTCACATGACAGTTGTGTAATGAAAGTAGAAATGGTATACAGTGTTTAAGAAGGAATATTAGTGTAGAAGGCTGAGTATAAATCATTTGTGTTAATTTTGCCTGGAAGGTTAATGGTCATGAGATGCAGCAATGGATGGGTGAATTACTTGCAATCTTACTGGAAATGTTAGGAGATGCAAGCTCTCCTGAGAAACGAGGAGTGGCTCTGTGGGCTTTGGGCCAGTTGGTGGGCTCAACAGGCCTTGTTGTGAAACCCTATAACCAGTATCCCACATTACTGGATGTTCTCATCAACTTCTTGAAGACTGAACAGCAGCCAGTTATTAGGTAAAATCACACACAGAGAAGTATGTCTGCCACAAGTCCCATGAATTGAAATCATTCATCTTGAAATATCGTGTATATCCAGAGAACAATTATGGTATGAGCCAGAATCTGTTTGGAAGGTAAGGGGAATGTATCTTAGCTAATGGAGAACATGTACAAGATTTCATATAATGTAGGTAATTAACCTTCACTCTACAATAATTGCTGCAATCTGATTATTGGTGCAACTGATTGACTAGGAAACATGGCAACCAGTGCAGTGTTTGCAGACAGTAGAAAGGCTGTCAAATATCCTACCCCTTACTATGTAATTTTTCTGGTGACATTGAAGAGGTATTGAATTTAAATGGTTTAAATTGGCTTACTTCTTTATATCAGTAATATTACTATATTGGAGGAAGGGGTAGAATCTAAACATGAGTACCATAAAAAATTACAGATATTTTCTTTACAGGCTAGCAAAAACATTTATGTTTGTCAGCATTTAGAAAATAGCATAATGAACTTTTTGTACAGGTCTCCTAATATTGTTAGGATAGTAAAATCTAGGAGGCCATGATGAATAAGCTTGTGGTTGTCTAAGGTGCAATCAGAAATGCGTATAGAATTTTGGTGTGGACCTCTTGGGTAGTGGCCACATGGAAGAAAGAGAGGATGATAGAAGGATAACATTATGATGGATCTTGGAGACTTGGATTGTGAGGATGGAAGGCTGAGGCATTGAACTTTCAGATTCCAATACCACAGAATTAATTACTTTTTAGTTGTTCCGTCAGTAATTCTGATAAATTTGGTACTGGCTTCTGGTCACTTGATTTTATAATGAGAATTGTAAAAGTTTGGTGCCTACTATATTTTTCCTTACTGTTTTATACCATAATTTGATTATCCATATTTTTTTTACTTTGTTATTATCATGAACTGATAATCTTGAAATATGAGACTAAATTAGTATGTTGTCTGTTTTATATGTTGTGTGAATGATATGTCAATTTACTTGCATGTATCTTCAGGCGTGAAACCATTCGAGTACTTGGACTTCTAGGAGCGTTAGATCCATATAAACATAAGATGAATCTTGGACAGATTGATTACCAGGTGGATTCCACAGCCCTTTTGTCCATAACAGATAACAAGACTGAAGCAGAGACAAACCATGGTATGAAGTTTTATTCACTGTATACAAGAAGTGTTTGATAGTAACCTATTTACAATTTTTGTGCAACAATTTTGAGCCGGTGCTATTATTTAAGCATTGTTTTGGAAAGGAATATTTTAGAATTATAATATTATATTTGAATTGGGCAATATTTATGATGTTAAATAAGAACATTTTTACTTTTATTAAATTATAGAAAAATTAACTTACTACTTTATAAATTGTATTGTCTTGTGTGATAATGATACCAACAGACTTATAAGCTGAGAACAGTCAGTGGGATCTTCTTGATCACTTACATTTGTGGTTTGTGAGATACTGTCAGTATTTTTGTGCAAGGAATCTCAAAAATAATGAGGAATATTTATGGCTCTAATGCATAGGAGTTCCACACTGAATTTTGGATTTTTTTTACGCGAGTCCAAAACTTGTTACATTTTAGATTTTAAATAATTGTGCATCAGATTTTTCAAAATGTGTGGTTGGAGGTATGTTTTTTCCTAGAATGGAGACTGGTAACTGGATGGTGCAGTCTGGTGTAAACCCCTCCTTTCAGATCTTGCCTTATTTTTACAACACTTTTGGAGCTGGGGGTTGGAAATTTATGTGAGAAAGTGCTTTTGATTGTCTGTAGTTTCTTATGCTAGGTATCGTTGAACTATTTGAGGATGGGTATGAGATTGAAACAAGTTTTTATGTGTAATTCATAATAAAACAGAAGAGAGAAAATAGGCTTATAATATTGCAAACATTGAATTATGAAAACCCTAATTTAGTATTCATATTGATTTTTGGTATTCAGAACAAGAAAATTATAACTGATACTTGTTCACTATTTATACAAATCTGACACTTGTACAAGATTTACACAGGCCATACCAGACACAAACATGAAAAACATGCTTTACTGGATTACACACTGTACCAGAGTAAGGACATATTCATGCACATGAGAGTGGACACTGGTGTACTCTGTGGCAGTCAGTATGTTAAACAGAATTGGACCTGCAAGTAAGAAACACATAATTCCAACCTGTTGCTGCTGGTTAGCTTGTGTGTTGAGCCTTGACTTGATGTCAAAATATTTTGTGAAAGGTTTAGGTAATATTTTCAGAGTTCTGCTAATTATTTTTATTTTATATATTTATTTATTTTTGGTCTTGTTAGATCTTACCACAAGTGAGATGTTGGTGAACATGAGTTCTTCAACATTAGAAGAATATTTTCCTGCAGTAGCTATCGCCACTCTCATGAGGATCATCCGTGATCCAACTTTATCTCAGCATCACACCATGGTGGTTCAGGTAATCAGGACATTTACTGTGTTTACCTTTTCATAACACATGGTTTCTTCCTAATTTTTGCATTTGTAGTATAATCTCACCAAGTTGTATACAACTGGATATTTCTGAATTTAATATGTGATAACATATTTCTTATGTTTGCAGGCTGTGACATTCATCTTCAAATCCTTGGGTATAAAGTGTGTTCCATACATTTCCCATGTGATGCCAAGTTTCCTAAATGTGGTTCGAACAGCTGATGTAAATTTCAGAGAATTCCTTTTTCAGCAATTGGCTATCCTGATTGCTATTGTTAAACAACACATTCGTAATTACCTTGATGATATCTTTACACTTATCAAGGTTTGTGTAATTGTTCTACATCTGAGGATTGTTTCATTATTATTATTATTATTATTATTATTATTATTTTTATTTTTATTTTTATTACTTTGGATTGTTGCATTTTAGACTATTGTGATTTTGTTCGAAGTATGAACACTATATTTTAGTCTAAATTTCTAATGGTTACTATCAGTTTGAGTAGAGTTTCCAAGGTTTCTCTCTTTGCCAAAGGTAATGCAGTTAATTAATATTTTGTATCTTTGTCCACCTCATTTATTTGTTCCTCTGTGGTCCTAAACATTATAAAGCTGGACAAGTGGTCACACAGATAATTTTGACATAATATGTTTGTATTACGCTAGTATCTGTAAAGAATTTTAGATGATTTGTGTGTCTGGTATATAGGTTATTAAATAGGTAACAGTGTTTTGTGTTTATTGCAGTGATGGACCAAGCTGATGTAAGATTGTTATGTTATGTGTTAATATGATTATTTTGCAGGAATTCTGGACAATTAACAGTCCATTGCAAAGCACTCTGATTCTTCTGGTGGAGCACATTGCTGTTGCTCTTGGGGCTGAGTTCAAGATTTACCTTCCCCAGCTCATGCCTCAAATCCTGCGAGTTCTGATGCATGACACCAGCAAGGATCGAACTGTTACTATTAAGGTAAGAGACAGCTTGCTTGTGCTTTATTCTGTATGAAGGAGATGGATTTGTGCTTGTTGAGTTTATTCTATCAGGACTGCAATATTTTTCTGTTTAAATTGTTAGGGAATAGAATTTTATCTGTCGTTTTATATACAGATAGGTGTGAAACTTGGTCTCTCGTTTTGAGGGGAGAATGTAAATTTAGAGAGTTTGAGAACAAAGATCTGAGGAGAATATTTGGATCAAAGAAATTAAGGAACAAGTTGATAAGATAGGATCCAGTGGTGGGATATTGTAATGAACCTTCAGGTTCCATAAAAGTAGGTAATTTCATAACCAGCTGCTGAATCATGAACTTGTCAAGAAACATCTTGTACCACAGGGTTGGTTAGCGAAATTAATATGACACTTGATTTTTAAATGCTACTGTAGCAGAAACAACTGCATCTTAGATTCAGATAAAACAGGTACAGTGAAACCTCGATGCATCGTTTTCGGCGGGGGTGGGAAATAAAAACGATAGATGCGGGAAAGCATTAAAATTTTTAAAAAAAACAATGTTTCTCTTTCAAAGTTACTTCTTTTTACCAAAAAAGTCTTTAATGGACAACTGGTTTGTCGAAACTTTACGTTTTAGACCAAACAGAGCACTTTCCACGTTCAAAATGTTTTCCTCGTCACGTTCACTAATATTAAGCGCATAAAAGAACAACTTCACTTTCGCCAATGCAGCGTGCGCTTCGGCAAAACTCGGCAAAGCTTCGGGCTCGCATTCGTCGTCTCCCTCTTCCTCACCACTCCAACCCCCTTTGCGGACAATAACAGGAAGAATGGAAATACTATTACTGCCGAAC